ACTGGGTTTGGGGGTGTCGCGCGCAGCGGGCTGGGCGAACCACCGGTGCGGGGGGATCGCGGCCGCAGCGCAGCGCAGCCCGGCCTCCCCTCCCCTCGCCTCCCCTCCGGGTCACCGCGCCTGGCTCCGTGCGGGTTTAACGCCAGGGATGCCCGCACAGCCGCTAGAGCTCAAAAACGCCGTGCACATCCCCGCCAATCGAACCCAGCTTGCGGTACGTGAGCTCCTGGGGCTCATTTCAGTCCGGTTCAAGGGTACAAATGAAGGCAGAAACTGAGACTTTATCGTAAGTGTTTTTCTGTGTGTCAGTATTGTATGGTATAAAGTGCATCTCCTGTTTCTGCTCAGGTGGAATTTCTTAAAAGACACTGAGGAAGGTGACTACACCGATGAAAGTAACGTTCCCAAAATATTTTTGAAACCCTTCTCTGAACTTTTAAAATTATTAGTCCTCTCACTCAAAGAGAGGGAAATGAGGAAAGGTGTGAGTATAAGAACCCAAGTTACACGTGGAATTACAAGCCAGTGTCTGGTTCCACTGTCAGATGCCAAGTGATTTTGTCCTAAGGGTAATATCAGAGGGCAATTTTTGTTCCAAATGCTTTAACTGCATTATGGCTGCGGTGGGCCTTTCAGGAATTAAAAAGAAAAAAGAAATGGAAGAATACTTCAAGCATTAAAAACAGAAGAAAAGTGAGACACGCAAAACGTGTTTCTGATGGTCCAATTATCATGTAACTGTAGAAATAACGGGCAAAAGGATGGGCGGGAAAAAAGTAACATTCGCTTACCTTGTTCTTACTGATTTTTATTTCTGTTCGTACAGGACAGCCAAAGAGAAAAAAAAACTGAACTTAATTTTTACTGTTCATCTCCTGTTTCCGGACCGTTTAACAACGCTGTTTACCAGCCTGGGGCGGGCGCGCACTCGCTGAAGAACGTTTGGAAGCACCTGGGGGGGTTGTGCGCGCCTTGCTTGGAGCCCCGGTATCCAACACGCCGAACCCCGACAGCTTTCCCAGCCCCGCAGGGCCGGGCCGGAGCGGCGCGGCTCAGGGAAG